TTCTTAACTCCACGATTGTTAATGTCATCAAATATATTTCGTTCGTTCGATTTTCAAAAATGAGGTGTCAAATTAAAGGGCTTTGCTTTTACGTGGCTTTAGTTTTTTGAAAAGGGTTTCCGCATGTTAGCAAATCAAATAAAAATAATGGAGCTCGAAGATATTTGCGTTTAATTTCATGAAATCGGCTGTAAATGCACCGATTCTATTAAGAGAAAACGTGGGAAGTAAATCATTGTCGTATAATTTATAATTATTATGAAAAAACGTAAATCATTTCTGACTTAAAATAAACGTCCCACGAGACAAAAAAAAGTGCCACATAAAAATATTAAGAGGACGTAAATCTTTTCCGTATTGAAATAAACGTCCCGCGAGATGAAAAAATGGTCCCACATAATTATTATGCGAAGACGTAAATAATTTTCGCCTTGAAATAAACGTCCCGAGAGACGAGAAAAATAGAGATCCCAAATAATTTTATGAAAAGACGTAAATAATTTCCATCTGAAAATAATCGCCCCGGGAGACGAAAAAAGATATTTCTCGTAAATAATTGTTATACAAAGACTAACAAAAATTTCTCTTAAACCAAGGCGGCGTTTTTGATCTCAAATATAAGGATAATAATTATTTTGGGTCTCTGCATATGTGGAATGTTGGCATTTTATTTTATATAGAAGAAAATACGCAACACCGTTGTTTACTTTTTTCTTCAAATGAGCTACACCTTCATAAAAAAATATTGAAATTAATTTGAAAAATTAAATCGTCACTACACACGAATAAAGGCGCGCTAGTGTTTTGACGGAGAAAAAAGGCGTTTAAAAAAATTTTGCGAAAAAGATGCTTATAAAAAACTTTGGCGAAGTATGTTAATAGTCTTTGACGCTGAAATTTTTTTAAGCGTCTTTTTTCGCCGTCAACTTTTGAGCTTGCGTCTTTATTCGTGTCTAGTGACGAAATATATAGCTCAAACTGGGTGACCGTAGAATTTTATCGCGTGGTGTACTTTTGAAAATATTGAATATAATTTTAGAATTTAATTGTGTATACTTAAGTCAAACTGTAAACTTCATGAAACTTACGGCTCTATTCTGTATCAATGACAAGTTCTTGTCACAGCTACGGAAAAATATATGAAAAAGTTTAAATTTTGTTATTAAAAAAATGTTTGTCACCGATGCAGAATTGGGCTATTAGTTTAACTTAGTGGGACTTGCTGACAAAACTGGTTATGACTTTATGGGATAATTGGATAGATATCAAGAAAAAGCTACGTTAAATTAAATCTACACCAACTGAAGCTGTGCAATGAACTGAACACAAAAAAATTGTTTATTTTTTATTGAAGGAGAATGGTAGATAATGCATTGGCGGAAATGGTGAAAAGTACAATTAAGCTCAAAAAGTTCNAGATGTTGAAGAATCTAGCTTTGATGCGGATTGTGGCTAGACGTTCGTCCACCGGGGTGAACGCCAGTACTCGGCGACGGAGTCTCTCTCCTACCACGAATCCAACACCGAATTTGCGCTCCTTTACGTGGCAACTGTAGTAGACGTCGCAAGGCTTCACGCTTACTTTTCCTTGCCCCGTCAATCGCATTTCTTGATGGCGGTGATGTCAGCCTTTGTCTTCCCGAGGACATGAACCAGCCGAGAAGAGGCACCTTCCCCATTAAGGGACCGGATATTCCAGGAGCACGCGAAGTTTTACGCCTTCTCACTTTAGCTCGCTCCCAAATGGGTGTTTGGTTGCTACCCAAGGGATACGTGGGTATAAATATCCGGACGTTGTGAGCTGCGATTTGAACCGTACGCACAAGAATCGCGTCTGGCCCCTCCCAGGTGAATGGCAGTCAAAGCTTTTTCACTTTTGCGCACGGAACCTATGGGGTTATTTATTCAACCACCAATTTAATCTTTATTAAATGTATAATAAAACAAATTTTACAGCTTAACCGCACCGCGTGGTAAAAAGATATTGCCGCTTTTTTTGCCTGACGAAAAACGATGAAAAAAAAGAATGTCAAAAATTATGCAGAGTTGCCCTTAGTGCTGCCACAGCTACCCTGCCCCTAGTGATGTCTCACGATTTATACGTTGATCGCAAGGTGCTGACTTGCGACTATGACTCCTTAGAACCATTGTTGGTTGGGTGAGTTCTCTCTCCATGAACGCAGGTTTGAGCCTCTCGATTGAAATGTTTTGAGGCTTGCCGTTGATTTCGATGTTGAACAGGCGATCGCTTATACGTTTTACTACTCTATGTGGTCCTGTGTACGGAGGTTCGAGTGGTTTTTTAATGTGGTCGGTACGAAGGAAAACGTGACTGCACGAGTAAATGTCTTTGTGAAGAAAAGTTTTTTTGTTGCTGTGATGTGCTGCGGGAACCGGACGCAGTTGTTGCATGTATTGTCGAATTTTGGGTAAGAACTGCGACGTGTATGCTTGTTCTTGGCTGCTGGTGATGAATTCTCCTGGCAACCGCAATGTTGTGCCGTATAACATTTCAGCAGCGGAGGCATCCAAGTCTTCCTTGTATGACACACGGAGACCTAGTAATACGGACGGCAGCAGGTCGACCCATGACTGTAGGCGATTGCACATTAATGAGGCTTTTAATGAGCGGTGAAAACGCTCAATGATACCATTTGAGCTTGGGTGGTAAGGAGTCGTGTGTATTTTTCGAGCGCATATTAGTCTAGCTAAAGCTTGAAAAAGAGCTGACTCGAACTGCGTTCCTTGGTCTGTTGTAATCACCTTCGGCGAACCAAATCTTGCGACCCAAGACGTGTAAAACTGCTTTGCGACTGTATCGGCTGTCATGTCTTTCAGGGGTGCTACTTCGGGCCATCTTGTAAAACGGTCGACTNGCGGTGATGTCAGCCTTTGTCTTCCCGAGGACATGAACCAGCCGAGAAGAGGCACCTTCCCCATTAAGGGACCGGATATTCCAGGAGCACGCGAAGTTTTACGCCTTCTCACTTTAGCTCGCTCCCAAATGGGTGTTTGGTTGCTACCCAAGGGATACGTGGGTATAAATATCCGGACGTTGTGAGCTGCGATTTGAACCGTACGCACAAGAATCGCGTCTGGCCCCTCCCAGGTGAATGGCAGTCAAAGCTTTTTCACTTTTGCGCACGGAACNTATAAGGACGATTCTTGGAAGTGGATGTGTCGCAAAAAATCTCGATTCCCTCGTGTGGGATCCTTTTTTCTAGGCGTAGCGAGGTTAGCTGGTTGATGTTTGAGAGTTCGTTGTCTTCTTCTTGAGCTCTTTGAATTTCTTTGTATGTGACTATTACCGGTGAGTTTATAGCATTTATACGCCACAAAGCGTCTGCAACTGAATTGTCTGAGCCTGGCACATGAATGATTTCTGTTGAGAACTGCGCAATGAAGTTCAAGTGGCGTGATTACCGGGGTGACNCTGCGCAATGAAGTTCAAGTGGCGTATTTGCCGGGGTGACGCCTTATCGAGCTTCTGACGGAAGGCGAAAGTGAGGGGCTTGTGGTCGGTTTTAATAACAAAGTCTCTTCCATCGAGAACGTTTCTAAAGTGTTTTATCGATAAATAAACCGCCAGCAGCTCTCTATCGTAAGCACTGTAGTATAGTTGCGCCGGCTTTAGTTTTACCGAGAAGAACGCTAGTGGACTCCAGTGCTGATTACTAAACTGGTCTTAATGCGCACCAACGGCGGTGTTCGACGCGTCAGTCACTAAGCATAATTGAGCATTATTCGCCAGAAATGCTAGTCGCGTGGCTTTGAGTATGCTCGCTTTGCATTCGTCAAACGCTTTGACCAGTTTTGGTGTCCATGCTATCGGTGTCTTATCATTTTTTTTTGATGTCGTGAAGAGACTGTTAAGTGGCGCCTGAGTCTGCGCAGCGTTCGGAATGCATTTACGGTAGAAGTTGATGATTCCGAGAAATCGCCTTAAGTCGGATATGGTGTTTGGTTTTGGGTACCGAACTATTGCCTCGACTCTCTCTGGTGCAAAAACGAAATCAATGTTTCTGAATATAGAATCCATATAGCGCTGGAATGTTTGGGACGCGTTTTTTAACCCAAACGGCATTACCGTGAATTCGAAAAGTCCTATCGGCGTGCAAACAGCAGTTTTGCAAATATCTTCAGAATGCATTGGTATATTATAGTACGCCTGGTTTATGTCAATTTTGGAGAATATCTTTTTGCCATGAAGTTTTTCGCTGATGTCGTCTAAGTGCGGAGTCGGGTATCTGTCAGGTAAGGTACTTGCATTTAACTTGCGATAGTCCCCGCAAGCTCTCCATTCGCCAGTTTTCTTTTTTACTAGGTGAATTGGGCTGGCCCAGGGACTGTCAGATGGCCTGACAATGCCTTGCGACAATAATTTTTGAAACTGACTTTTTATGGCTTCTAGTTTGTTACCGGTATACCTTCTAACTCTTTCGGATATTGGTTGGGAGTTTGTCACAATACGATGGGACACAGTTCTTTCCAATGGTAGTTGGTACTCTTTTGCACTCGAGTAGTGCTTAATAATATGTTGTAATTCGGTACTAATTTTTATGGAAGCTACTGTATCATTATTTGCTTGTTGCATAATTTCAGGCGACTGCGTTTCCGCTTGGGAGTGCATTGCACTTACTGACGACAAGAGTTTCTTTGCCTTTAAATCGACCAACAAGCAGAACTTTGACAGAAAGTCTGCGCCCAATATTGGAAATTTAACATTCGAGATTAAAAAGTTCCACTTAAACTTTTGCTTAATGCCGATGTCTAAAGTTAAACACTTTTCGCCGTAAGTGGAAATAGCGGTGTTGTTTGCTGCGAAAAGTTGTATGCTTCTGGATGCTGGTTGTTTTTTCCACTTTAGCATCGTTTGTGGAATCGTGGAAATGACAGAGCCTGAGTCAACAAGGAATTTTATTCTATTGATCCTATCGAAAACGTATAAGCGGGAGTCGGAGGTGCCGACATTGTTAATGCTGCCGCCTGCTGCAGCGACTCTAGTTTCCCGCACTTTTGGAGTTTGTCGTATTTATGAACTCGCATGGTGGTGTACATTTGAAGGCTGCTTTGCCGAAGCGAATGTGGTATTTACAGACTTTTTGGTTCGAGCGCCTGGAAGTCGATTGGCTAGCGAAACGTGAAGATTGTGCGTTATGGTATAATGTTTCGCCCTTTGTGTTAGTGGACAGCTCACTGAGTTTTAAAGCAATTTGATTCATCGATTCCTCCAACGCCGTGACTCTTGCTTCGAACTTTTGCGGTTTGTGTTTCTTGATTGCGTCGCAAGATGCGGAGTTTACAGACGAGTCTAATTCGTATACGTTTGTTGGTGTATTGTCGACTATTTTGTCTGCTATTTTCGCTATCTCCTCCGGATCTGTTGATTTGCATGACAATAATATGCACCTGACGTTGTCGGGCATACGTTGTAGCCATAAGGTTGTTAGTTCATCGCGATGCATTGTTGAGCCCGCAAGATCCTGCATTTCTCGTAGGAGCTGGCTAGGTCTTTGGCCGCTACTAAGATCCGTGCCGGAGAGTAGTTTCAGGAGGCGTTTTTCCTTAGAGATGCCGAAGCGAGTTATTAGTTCCTCTTTAAGCTTGTCATACTTGCCTGATTCCGGCGGATTTTTGGCGATGTCAGAAACTTGGCGTAATGTGTCGGTGTCCAAGGCAGCGATTACGTTGTAGAATTTTGAAACATCTGAAGTTATGCGGTTAACGAGCAGAAGTCCATCGATTTGTGTGAACCACAGTTCGGGATCTGCTGCCATGAAACGCGGTAGTTTGAGCAAACCAATTGCACCGACATGTGTTTGCGGTACTACCTGCTGGCACTTTCATCACCGTGTTCAGTTTTCTGCTCATCTGCTGATTGTGGTGGCATCCTGGTTTAGTTAATGTCAATGATGCGTTGGTAGTTTTACTTTCCTATCGGGGTCACCAGTTATGGGGTTATTTATTCAACCACCAATTTAATCTTTATTAAATGTATAATAAAACAAATTTTACAGCTTAACCGCACCGCGTGGTGAAAAGATATTGCCGCTTTTTTGCTTGACGAAAAACGATGAAAAAAAAGAATGTCAAAAATTATGCAGAGTTGCCTTTAGTGCTGCCATCCTCCATGGTAGACGTCTGCATAAACTATATTGCAATTTCTTCCATCACTGTAAATATCGTTTTTCAATTCTTTACACAAAATTAATATTTTTTGTTAAATGCCAAAAGCGTATTTTCGTGCCATAGATTGAGCTGTGGTTTGGCGATTTGTTTATTTAGCCTAGGTACCAAGTCCGTATTTATTATTTGTTGGAAACTATTTCTTGTGTAAAGAGCTTTTTAAGGGTCTTATTATGTTCTGATGTCTGCTTACTTTAACAGTTATTTAGCTACCTTTCATGCCACGAATATTTTTTACCGTTCTTTCCGGGCTCTTCTTCAGATAGTTCAATGCCACGGGATATTATGGACCGTAATATAATATGGAAAAATAATAAAACGGGTTTTAGTATGAAAATAGCTTCTACATGTTTAAGTTTTTAACACCCAGTTGCTAGTGAACTTTTTTGTTGAGAATTTATGACACTGCAGCAATCGGAGGCCGAATAACCTCTTATGCACGTATAATTATTTACTATTGAATGTACTACTGACTGCTGTAACGGTAGATAAAATTATACGCGAATACCAACCAAATGTATGGAAAATACTTATATACGAAGGGCTATTCTAATTGCATACCACAAAAACTTTACCCTTATTTATTGCAGATAAATCGAAGAAAAACATGATGCACATATAATTCTTTTACTAAGGTATGTCTTTAATAAGTAGATTATTATAACGCAAACAAATATGAACTGCAGTTGTACAATCGGCCGATTGTGTGAAGGAGCGCCCTAATGCTTTGTCTTACTTTTCACCGTTTCCCATTACGACCAAAATAAAGTGGAGAAATAAGAACACTCCAAAGTCAACCGTATCACCACGCGCAAGGGAAAACGGCCACCACAAAGCTGAGTTCAACGAACATATCGTATTAAATACATATTTATGTACTTTTGCATATAGATATCTCAATTATTAATAAACTTTTATAACATTTTAATAGAAATGTGAAAAATCTTTTCGCGTTGCTATGGTCCTTCTTTACTTATGGACATACTCACAAAAGTGATTACAAACAAAAAATTAAGTGGAGTGAACATTAAATAACATCAGAGTTTAAACAAATATAAAACATTAAGTGAAGACGGTGAACGAAAAACCAAAAAAAAAATCAATGATTGTGCTAGTAATAGAATTCCAATCAAAATTTATTGCATTTTTCGGATTGTAAAAACTACAATCAATTTAATTTTAAGCACATTTGATTGCAATGATTGTGATTGCAATCAAATCACTGATTCAATCAAACATTTTAATTGCAAGCTCAAAAATGCAATAATTTATTCATGCTTTTTTTAATAAAGAAATTGAGAACGTAAAAGCAAAATAGAACGTGAAATTGAGAAAAAGACATTTTGACATTCTGCTGTAAACATTTTACCATTTATAAATCAGTTTTAAACTCTTTGCTTTACACGCAAGCACTTACAGAGTCCAGTAATCATTAATATTTTGATTTCCACTCATTTTACTTTGGTTTATGCTTAACCATTAATTATATTATTTATAAAACCTTTTCCAACGACTAAAGATTTATGAATAAACCTTTTTTCATAAATAACTCTCATATAAAATGATATTATATTCAAATAAACGTTGATGTTTTTTAATAAATCTATGGTTGTATATAATTAAATTTTAAATTTCTAAATACTAAATACTAAACAGTTAAGTTATATTCAAATACAATATTATATGATTTAGAATACACTTCTATACCATACATCGCTTCCCTACTTTAATTTAGTCTTAATATCTAAACCCCTTCTTTCATATTCATGTTGGTTTTGATGTTGCTCCATTATGTACTCTTCAATTTCCCCGCCACAAACGGTTAGGAATTTTCCATTGGCATTATGTGTTTTAGTAGCTTTAAACAAAGTAATCATTTCTAATGTACAGTATTAGCTTATTTATACACATTTCATAACTATATAAAAAACATTGAGGTAAACTGTTGATAAAGAACATATTTAAATATACATATATTTTATACTGCATAATATGATTCAATTAAAATGTGGAAATAATCTTGAACTCAATGGTGCTGACAAAGAATATATTTATTTTTTATTACCCTATTTAAATTTTATTATATGATTCAAATCAAATGCTAATATTATAAATAGCCTTGATCTTGATTTCATCATCATTGTATGCCTAATAAGTATAGTAACGCCAAGTGGACGATAACGAATCCCACATAAATATATAAAAAAATGCTTATAAAAGTATGTGTATATTTAAATGTTTAATTCATCTAGCATTATTCATTCATATATTGCTAACTTAGTGAGAAAAGCATACTTTTTATGAAAACTCATATTTTGATATAGAAAGCAGGAGATATTAATAATACATCGTTTCGAAAAAAGATTAAGATACTTGTTTTTCTCGTTTATATTCATTAAAAGACAAATTTATTAAATTCAAAAGTGTCACCGAATGTCTAACAAATTCAAAAATAATACGAATCTTTTAATCTTTCACATATGAATGGAAATATCTGCTGATGTTGATGATGAGAACAAAAAAATTTAATTTGAAATAAAATTAAGTTTTATAATTACTTATTTATTTTTATTTATTATTAGATATTTAATGAAGAAATAAATTTTCTTAATATTATTACATTTTTTCAGCACATATAGAATTTTCATATTTACAAGTATTTATATTTATATTTTGAATATATAGTCTTTACATTTGACAAATTTAAATCATCTAAATTATATAAAATAATATCGTATCCGAATAAACGTTGAATCCATCTGATTTTCTCCAATCCTTTAGCATAGAATATATAATTTTTTCTTTTCATTAATGAATGGATATATTCAATAACAGTCATTAAAGTCGAATCACCCTCTTCCCATTTTAATCCATGATGATTATGATATAACCAGTTGTTAGTTGTTTTATCCCGTATCGTTAACTTGGATTCTTCAAAAGGAGGTTGAATAAGAAACGTTTTTATATGTGATATATATGTTATATATATGTTGATATGCTGACTTCTTTAGCAATAAATTTCCTATTAAAATAGACTCCCTGAACGTCTATAACCAACGTATATTCCTCTAACATTATATAGATTGAGCTTTTTTTTTAAATTCGCTTAAAAAATAGTCTTATGAATTTCTATAAAAGTTTATATTATTTTTTTAGAGTCTATTCAAATCCTATTTAAATAATTGTGAACATAAGTATGTATTAGAACCACCAATTTTATTAACTAATCGATCACTCTCCGCTGAGTAATGAAAACCAAATATCAAATTAATCTTTTTATATACTACATTTGTATTCTTTTTATATGTCATATGAATACGGCAAATCCATATTATAGTATTAAAAGTTAAGAAATTTCCAAATCCATATAATGTTTATAACTTTTAATATCAATGAATGTGACATCTGAGCGTAGTGTGATATCATCTCCAGTAACAATTTCAATTTCACCGTTACTTAAAATTTTCTCGAATGCAACCTGGCGATACACAAAACAAGAAATATTCAGTTTACGTTGAAGGAAATCACTATCATATGTACAGCGAATTCATAGCATAATATTATCTTCATATTGAAGCTGAAAATGTCTATAAAAGGGTTGTGAGCTCTCAATTATTCCCGAAATATTTTTCTCTTTTTGTATTAGATCTTGCCTAAATGCTTCTATGGCTTCCTGTGTTGTGAAAAACTGTTTCGGATTGGATTTAGGCGCTTCTGATGTCGTTTCAGGAATAGATGTTTTATTTACACTGAACCAAAAATCCATCTCTGGATCAAAGAAAAACTTTCCTTACTTTAAGGTCGAAAATTCTTCCTCATTATATTTATTTTTTTTATTTTAATTGTTTATTAGTAAATTTGGTTATTCCCGTACCACACGGGGTTTTAATTTAAAATATTGATGTCCATAATATACTATAAGATATTTTTTTCCTGCCCAGTAGTACTCTACTTCAGGAAGAGGATTTGTAGGTATTTCATCACAAAACACCTGTAGGCCACGCGATTCCACATCTTCAGTAGAAATTACATTCCATAGGTTCTCCATTCGTATACAATTCAATCTATAAACGTATATAAAAAATATAATATCAGGTGTGTTCTGAAATTCGTTCGATTTGAAATCGATACGATTTTGGAAATATTCTTATGGATTTTTAATCATAAAGCTCATAATTTGGTATTGATACGGATGATATAACATCGCTGATGGTTCTATTATATTTTTTATATAAAAAATATTCAATCTTTTCATCAGAAATAACGATCAATATTTAGCAAATCATATTGATTTCAAAATCGTTCGATTTACAGAACATGCCTGTATATGTATATATGTATATATATTTTAAAATTAGAAAACATTTTTTTCTATTATTATTAGATCTTTTTAGTAAAAGCTTACCTTCGTCCTTTGTTTAATTTATATATGTTTATATAGTTTACTTAAAAACTTTCGCAAAAATGGACCTTATTCACAGCAAATTTCTTTGATAAATGAGAACTCATCTCAATAAAGAGATAAGTTTATATACTACATTTTCATTTCTCTAATAAGCATAAGAATTCAAAAATTAGCTGGCTTTCAAAA